GGATGAAATTTTGAAGACGTTCCACTTATTTCGTCATCTTTTAGATCTACTGTATTCTGATTCTGAGTTATATGCGTTCAATATTGAAATCTCTTGCTCGATACAATATTTGGTGAGTGGTACTCCAATGGATGATGAACGCTATAAGGAATCTTCTCGGCGTTTTCATTGCTCCACCTGATCTGGTCTCCACAACCACTCTACACAATCCTACATCTACTGATGTGGAGTGTACGATTGGGGATTCAGTGAGAGTTCCTGCAATTGATGCTGATAGTGATTCTGTTGAAGGTATTGTTAATGCATTTCCATCAGATCTTGTTGCTGTTGATACGCACGTAGATGCACCGGGTAAGGAAGAAGTTGCAAAGGGTCCAACATTGAGCAATGTCATCATCACATGTAGCCTTGTGCCTTCGTCCAAAACGGCCCAAGTAGCAGATGTAAATTATACGCAAGCGGACATCTCACTGTCCTTTGATATCATCCAGTCCTCTACCCATGCGAATATAGTGGAGTTCGAGCATTGGGTTTCACCGCCGGTAGCTGAGTTAATATTTTCTCTTCTCTCTTATGTCCGTCGCTGTACTCCAATTTGCTGGCTTTATGAAGATCTGTCATCAAGTGGGCATAATCTTTGGATCAACATTTTCTCTCCAGTCTCGAAGCATGAGTGGGAACCTCCACCTTGAGGACAAGGTGGTTTTCTAAGGGGGTGAGAGTGTTATGGATAGTAGGGTATGATACTTAGTATTATTATTATTATTATTATTATTATTATTATTATTATTATTATTATTATTATTATTATTATTATTATTATTATTATTATTATTATTATTGTAATTTAGGTTTTATTAGGTGAGCGGAATTATAAGTTCCTTCGAAATTTCTTTACGGTTCTTTTCCTTGTCGCTTTTATTGAACCGTCAGGTTAGGTTTAGAGTTAGCTAGGGTTTCTTTGTCTCTTATATATATAGATGTAACTCCTTTAGAATAATCAATGAATAAATAACTCAAAATCATAATTCCTTCTCCCCTCTCGGTTTGCCGTTTCCCTCTTTGCCTTAATTCTTCTTCTTCTTCCACGTTACATATTCTCAAGAGCTTGAAGACGCTCTAAGTCTTCCCTATCCGATACGAGTTCGTATCACTAGCCATATATTAACATCCATGCATGCATGAGAGTTATCATTAGTCAAACATTGTCAACACTAGTGTCATGTTCATTTAATTTCCACCAAGGCAGTGAATGGGTGGCTCCCTGCGGCTAAACAATTGTACAACAAAAATATTTAATTGCTCATACTTAGATGAGTTTAAGTTTGAACTCCTACTTTGAGGATATAACACATGTTTTACTCCTATTTAGGGAGTTTTCTTTTAATTTTAATCTTCACATAAAGTATCTTCACTTTTTAAATAAAAAGTCTATTTTGTCATTTTTAATTCTTATATATTCTACATATCACATTTACTTTTATTTATATAAGAGTCTATCTCACATCTCAAATTAAATAGAAAATTAATTGGTATATAAGTTCTTCAGTTGAATAAGTAATGGATTGAATTCAATTTTAAATTATGGTTCAACTTTGATGGTGTAAATATAGTTGGGCGGGTTAACCGGGTTTAACCTGGACATTTGACCCGTAATATAAAACACACAACAAGAACACAAAGTATGACCTAGACCGGGCAAATCTCCTCAGTCCGAAATATATTTTTTACTCTGTCTCAAGAGTGTACTAGTTTTTAGTGAGAGAAAGAATTGGTCCCCTCCTCTATCCAATATCATCATATTTATAGAGGAGGATTTGTGACCTTCCCCTGTTCATCCATGGACAAAATAGGAAGCCCGTGGGAAGGTCACTGTACATAATCAATCAACTATTCAATCAATGAATCTAGCAACTACAAGCCAAGACATGCACTGTTCAATCAAAGACTATGTCATGGATATTCTCAATCCAATCAATCATGCAAAACGCCAATCATTCCCTTCACTGTTTGCCTCGTGACGGATGAGCGGCGGGGT